GCTCCTGTGCTTTTAGCATACAATATGCATTAAATGTGAAATAGAATTAGATATTATACTATAAATGACTAATCTTACTATTTAAATATTTTTTCATATGTTTGTGTAAACTCTTAACACATACAAAACTACATACTGTTAAGAAAAACTTAAATAGCAGGAGAGTAACAACATTGATGCTTTCATTATTCCTTTAAATGTATGGATTTGGATTTGGTTCTATAGGACAAGAGACTAAAGCATTCACTTAACCTACATCACTGTATCTCAAATTTTCAAACTGACCCAGTACTTTTATAGAGAGAAGTGCATTAAAATACAGGCATACATTACTGTGCTGATTTCAAGTAATGTTTATTTTATGTCTGGTTTTTTTTTTTTTTTTTTTTTTTTGGTCTTTTTCCTTTTTATCGGTACCAGGGATCGAACTCACGACTGCCTGCTTGTAAGGCAGGCGCTTATGCCGCTGAGCTAAATCCCCAGCCCCTATTTTATGTCTCTTAATAATTAATGTTTTCATCAGCTTTCATATGCCAGACATAATACCTGACTCAATTTAGAGAAGGAAAGGTATAAGTTTTCTCACGTTTTGAGGAAATTCAGTTCATAATCAGATAACTCCAAGGCAAAAGTATCATATTGGAAGGAGGTGGTACAGCAAGGCTGCTTACTTCATGGTGGCCAGGAAACCCGCTGGGGACCAGTGCCAAAGAAGAAGAGACAGGGGACCAGACATAGAACCCAAGGCTACGCCATCATTACCTACCCAGAGACATCTAGTTGTGTGTGCCACCAATCTTGATGGCAGATCCCAAAGCCAACCAAGTTGATACTCTACCTTTATCACAATTATAGAATTACTTAAATATCTACAATCATTAAATAGTTCATAAATTACTTACCATGCAAATCTAACTGATAGCTTATATGTTTTATAAAATAAAATCTGAGCAAATGAAAATTGACACATTGGGACTGGGGAAATAGCTTAGTGGTAGAGTGCTTGCCTAGAATACACAATATCCTGTGTTAAATCCCCAGTACTAAAAAAAACCAAAAATACAATGCAAAAATTAATCAAATTCAAATGACCATTTGTGTGCCATCTTTAATTTAATCTTGTACTTTTTTCACCCCCAACTTTCTGGAAAGATGCAAAAATCATTCATTTTGAAGAAATTCATTCTATGCTACCAAAGAAGTACACAGGTAACCCATGCATATTCATATTTATATATAAAAAAATCCTAAAGGGGAATTACTATAAGATAGAAAATATCATGCAAAAAACATGCATTCAGCCCCTGGGAATAAAACTATCTGATGGCATTTCTGTTCAGGAATTGTACATTTGTCAAAATACAGATGTACATTTGTAAGGAAACTTTTGTGAATTAGAAGAATGAGGTGCAGGCAGCAAGACCACCTATTTGAGATGACAACAGGTACAACTGGCTGATTTTGGTATTTTAATTTTTTGTTTGTTTATTATTTTCTTTTTTGTTACCAGCCATTCCAGGTAGGTGTTGTACCGCCTGAGCTATGTCCCCGGCCCCAACTGACTGAAGACAGCCCAGTAACTCCCATTAGGCACTGGGATCATATAGTTATATTAGTCATCTCAGCTCTCAAAAAGTGTTAAAATTGCCATTCCTAGTATGAATTTACTAAGAAATGTAGTTGAAAATGACTGTTACTCTTCAGAGTAGAATTCACAGCTCACTGAGAACTCAAGAGGGAACGTGATGTCCAAATCATGGTATATTGTCAAATACCAAATGAGGGAACACCACGTAAAGACCAAGTAATCAGGGTCTGGGGATTTAGCTCAGCAGCATAAGCACCTGCCTTGCAAACAGGCGGTCATGAGTTCGATCCCCGGTACTGGTAAAAAAAAAAAAAAAAAAAAAAAAAGACCAAGTAATCAATAATGCAGGGATGTTCTGCAGTAGGACAGGGCATCCAAAGTGTGTGTCACTTAATATATTAGACTACAGTGCATTCTATTTGAGAATAAAGCCAGGCTAGCTCATTGTGGTACATTTGAAATGTGATGTCAAAAAAGGCAAGTTCTGCATTATATTGATACATAGAATTGAGCTTTTCCAATTTGACTCTATTTATAACTGTCTATTGCTAATTGCAAGTACATGAAGACTCACTTGATGCACAAATAAGCAGTATGTATACAATAATGTAAGCCTCTTACTTAAAAAGTTGCTAAATAGGATAGAGTCACAGAGGGGAAAACTTCACAGGTAAAGTGAGAATCACACAGTATAAACATGCATGGCTCCTTATTTACTGAAAGCAGTGAGAAAATGATCTCCCTGTCCTTCCTCTAATTTAGCATGCCAACATACTTGTGACTAGTATTAACCAAAATTGTCTTCTCTATTTTTTTGTTTGCACAACCAAATGTGAGTATGCTGCAGTCACTGGTTCTGCTAGTGCTGGCTCATGCAAGCAGGTTGTGCTCATCACCCCCCAAGTTTTTAATTCAGCAAATCACATTACGGTGTGAAATTGATGTTAGAGTATTTCTAACATAAAGTCAGTAAGCATTATAAATATGCCCACCTCTAAGACTCTACCATGGACAGATTAGTAAATAACAAATACCACTGCACTGTCATACTGTCTACTCATTGTGCACTGGGTCACATAATTGGCAAAAGAAAATGGGCAAAATGAGATCAAACAGGCATAGTCATTTTTCTCATACATGGTAAAGGTGTTAAGTAGTTGTCCTGCTCCTTTCTTTGTTTTTTACCTCTAGTTTCACATTTCATACCATCCATACCATTTCATACCGTTTAAGCCATTTCTGTTTTTCATTGTGTAAAGTGTCTCTTTTTACTAAACTTCTATTTATATTTATCAAAGTAATAAATTTATTAAATAAGAAAAAATCTATTTTTTTCCTATGGCTCATCTTCTCAATTATATATCAAGTTACTTATAAGAAGACAATTTTTACATTTTGGTGGTTGTTTTGCTTAGCATGATGCACATTTTGGGTAACAAAAATAGGGAAGGTAAAGAAATACTTAAAATCTTGGAGTCAAGAGAAATGCTTCTAAGATTTAACATTTAAATTGAACATCCAAATATTTTTGGATTAATACATTTCCCACTTTAATACTTACAGGGCTAGGAAAGGAAGTATAATGGAAGATTCCAGTATGGAGCTCTCCCTTCTCTCTCCACCCTCTGAATTTGCCTTGTAACTATGGGGGTCTTGCGAATGAGCTTAGCATTGCAACAAACCCTTTGATTTTGCCAAGGCTAAGGACTTTTGCAGGATTCACTATTTCAAATGCCTAAGTCAGACAGTTTTAGGCAAACCAGAATTGGTTTTCATTTGGATTAAAGAAAAGCCCTATTCTGAAAGTCTAATAGTATCATAGAGTCCTCTGATCAGAGAATTCTATAGTTTTGGAAGTACAGAGCATGGTCTATGTATGTGGGAATGAGTGAATGATGGCATATGAACTCCAATCCTCTGATCCTGCAGACTTCTTTCCCCCAGATCGATTCTGGGCATGTAGTAGTAAATAAATGTAGAAACACATTTTATAATGGAAAATATATCAAGGCATTTTCAATTTATGATTTCTTTCTTCCAGTATTACACAGGCCACTTTTCTCACCTCTCTGCATCTCACTTCAGTCGGTACTGATCTAATCATCATACAATACATAAAAGTTGTGTGAAGTTCTTCAGTAGTTTGTATTATAGACCAGAATCCCAAACTTGGGCTTTAGTTTATCTTCTAGGACCCTGTCATGCATACACCAAACATTCCGGGTTCACATTATGCCATTCACCTCCGCAATCAATCACATTGGCTTTACTTCAATTCCGTATTCGATATCCCTAGCTGCTCTATTTTGTAAAATTATGGTATATTAATAATTAAATCCTCTCCTAGATTTGTAAGCTCAGTGCGACATACTACTTAGTGCTTTTTCTTTACATCCAGGGACATGTTATACAGGAACTATAAAAGTAGGAAAAAGTGAAGAGGAAATAAAAATACTAATTAATGTGAGAAAGTTCTCTACCCTGGATGTTTTTATTTTCCTTGACTAATTTGCATACTGTGTAGTCTGTAAAATTCTACTGCCTTCATGGTAAGAAGTATTTTACAACAACTGCATTTTTTTTTCTGTTAGGAAAAGGATTAGCAGAATATATTCATATTGGACAGATTTTGTAACTGCAATAGCAGAGACTTGTGAAATAAGACACCCGAGACTGAAAACATGCAAGTGGTGCAAAGTATACGTTCTTTTTTTCTCTATTTTTTCTTTCCTTATCTCCTGATCCAGTTCCTAATATTACAAAATCCAACAGAATGAAAGCAAATGGATTAAACTCAGCAAAATGTAAGAGATTTCCCAAATGTATTCATATACAGTTTGTAGCAGTTTTAATATTTGAAAATACAAACGGTTTCAAATTTTTGAAATTTAGTTCGTAAGTCAATTTCATGGCTGACATTTGACAATGAAATCATTCCAAATACATAAGTTCACGTTTGTAAAACAATTACCAAACAATATATACAACCTTCTCTTTATTCTTCTCTACACTATTCTCAGTTGTGACCATCATCGTAATGCCAAACAATTTCTTCATGCACGGAAGGTTGTCCTTTGCTCTTCAAGGATCAATGATCCATCCTTATACACTGGACTAAAATAATGTGGCTGGAAAACTGCACTACTGAGCTGAAGTGGAGAGTGTATACAAAGTTGGAGGGAGTGTTGAGCATAAGGCAAAGTCAAAGGTCAACATTTGAAGCCCAAACTGGGCAGCAAGAATTGGCCTCTGTGATGTGGTACAGAGGCCACTACACCGGTCTCCATGGTTAGGCAGGCGCAGCGCTACCTTCTGAGTAACACCCACGCAGGGCGCGCCTTCAGGCTGACGTCAGATCTATGGTTTCTGCAAAGAACCTTGGGTAACGGATAGGAAGTGCAGTGCGCGCAGGCGCGTTCTTCAGACGCACAGTTGAGGCCAACGTGGCGGCCATGGGTCGCCGGCCGGCTCGCTGTTACCGTTACTGTAAAAACAAGCCATACCCCAAGTCTCGTTTCTGCCGGGGTGTCCCGAATGCGAAGATTCACATCTTTGACCTGGGGCGGAAGAAGGCCAAAGTGGACGAGTTCCCATTGTGTGCCCACATGGTATCCGGTGAACACGAGCAGTTGTCGTCAGAAGCCCTGGAGGCCGCCCGCATCTGTGCCAACAAGTACATGGTGAAGACCTGCGGCAAAGATGGCTTTCACATCCGGGTGCGGCTCCACCCCTTCCACGTCATCCGCATCAACAAGATGTTGTCCTGTGCTGGAGCTGACAGGCTGCAGACGGGGATGCGCGGTGCCTTTGGGAAGCCCCAGGGCACGGTGGCCAGGGTCCACATTGGCCAGGTCATCATGTCCATCCGCACCAAGCTGCTGAACAAGAAGCATGTGATCGAAGCCTTGCGCAGGGCCAAGTTCAAGTTCCCTGGACGCCAGAAAATCCATATCTCCAAGAAGTGGGGCTTTACCAAGTACAACGCTGATGAATTTGAAGAACAGATGGCTGCGAAGCGCCTGCTCCCTGATGGTTGTGGAGTCAAGTACATCCCCCGGCGTGGCCCTTTAGACAAGTGGAGGGCACTGTGCTCTTGAGGGCTTCCCTGGACCATGGTTCCCAGGACTCCCAAGTCTCACTGAAGCTCGCTAGTAAATTCTGTTTGCTGACAAAAACAAACAAAAAGCATTTTTTTAAAAATTGAGCAGTTATCCGGTTTCGAATGTAGAATGCTAGAGAAATACTGTTTATGTTAACACAACATGTTTTAATGGAAAATACCTTCTTGAAGTGAGATAAATGTATATGCCATGTATGGAAAGCTATTGCTATTCTGTTCCAAACACTTTAAATGTATGAGAGTACTTAAAAATGTTTTGTTTGTAGTAACGTTATAAATTATAGAAATATTTGTAGTAAAGTCAAATATACTAGCTAACATTTTGGATTAAAAACAGCCAGAGAAAACTCAAAATTTGTGTGAAAAATTCTTATTGTATATAGCAAGCTAAAGGGAAGGGATAAAAATAGTGTTAGGCATTAGTGATAATTCAGCTACATGCTCTGAAAGTAATCTTACTTCTAAATTTGATTGTTTATGTTTTCCTATGAATTTCTGTATGCTAGTTTTAGAGTTACCTAGCACTTTTGATTATCAGCCTTTAGACAGTTAAATATACGGGAGAGAGGCTTTCCAGACAAACCTTACATTATTTTACACTCAAGAGACAACATTCCAATCTTTGCTCCATCACCAAAAAGTCATAGGTGACAACAGAGTTCATATTGCACATTGTATTTAGGCCTCAGTAGAATCAGTAGAGGAGAGAAAATGGCAGTCAGCTTTTTGTGCCCTAAGAGAAGCCCGGAGAGACTTTGCTATCTGTAGTTGTTTGCCCTCTATTACAGTTACATTAATCACAAAGGTGATTTGTGTTTTATTTCAGAAATTACATGAGTTTTTTGAGTCTGTATGTTTTTTCCCCTTTGTTACTTTGTTCTGATTCTTTAGGTTGATTTAGTCTTTTGGATCTCAATCTTCCAAACAGTGCTTTCCGTTTTCTTACAGGAGCCACTTATTTTTAGATTCAGTACAATTAAAGCAAGAAAGGATTACAAAACATGGAAACGTTGCTGTTTAAATAGTTTCCATTTACTTAAAGTTCTTCGTCAATCCTGACAAACTATCTCTGGCTTGATAATGCTTCAAGATCCTCTCATGTGAAATATTTCTGTTTGTGTATTTTTAAGCTAGGTTGCTATTGTAAGCAATAATGTTTGACATATCACAAACTTGAGAAAGGTAGCTCTAAACAAATATTACATAAATATATTGCAATGGCTCTTTAGCTTGAGAAGCACCTTCCATGATGGAAATTAAACTTTGAAGATCATGAAGTTGCCTAGGAAATTAAGTCATACCCAATTAGCAAATAAAGGGGAATTTGAGCCAGCTGTTTTCAGCGCTTTCAAGTCTTGTTTCCATCTTAGTATAACGTCTTCCAAAGGGAAAAAAAAAAGCCTTCAAAAGTCCAAAATGCAGGAAAAAAGGCACAGCAAAACAAGCAGTTACTTAGTGCATCTACCTTTGAAAATTTTTCCAGCTTAGTTATTCACCTTTGCTGTGTTATCAAAACCATTAAAGCATCTTAACAAACCAGTCATTGTGTGTACTAGAATAAACTATGAATAATCCTGGCCTGGGAAATCAGTTACCTACGAAAGAGAGAGGGTTAGGGTTTTAGCTCACAGGTGGGATATGGTTCTCTAGCATGTACAAGGAACTGGATTATATCCCCAGTATCACAAAAATAAAGGAATGGCAAAAAATAATAGAGGGTTAAAATCCTCCAGTTTGCTTTATAAAGAATTACTTACAAATCCCATTGTCTTCAATGTTGGTCTAAATATATTTTCATTTTTTTAAACTACCATGGTTTCCAAAGCCATGACTTTGTTATCCACATTTTTCTGATTTGAGTTGTTCTCTGTATTTAAAAAGTGATAAAATGAAGGAAAATTTAATCGTAACTTTGGAAAGCTCTTCGTATGTTAAACTGTTTAAAATGGAAATTTTAATTTGGATGGAAATTAAAATGGAAAATTTAATTCATATATTGTATTCATACACTACTGCAACAAGAGCAATTAATCCATTTGAAATAAAGAAATGAAAACAGTTAATAAAATTTAAGGAAATATTGCCCAATACAAAATTTGAATTAGTTGATTGAGTCCAAGGGGTTTTGGGGTTGTTTTGTTTGGTTTTCTGTGCTTTGAGACAGGGTCTCACTATGCAGTTCAGGCTGGCATTGAGCTCACTTGGTATCCCAGGCTGGTCTGGAACACACAAGGATTCTCCTGCCTTAGCCTCCCAAGTGCTGATATCATAGCCAGTGCTACCATTCCCAGCTTGAGTCTCCAGGTTTTATGCAGAAAACTACCATTGCAAGAGATTTTATTTCCTTATGCTGTTTGCTCTGTCCAGTTCAAGTAGAACTTTCTGGTTCTGCGACTACTGATAGAAAGATTGAACTAAAACATTTAATCTCAAGCCTCATCTGCCATTACATTAGCACATTTTTGTGTGTTTGTATGGTAAAATAATGAATTCATTTAAAAACTGTCTCATTAAAAAGTGAGCAATGTATAAAATAATGAGTAAAGTCAAAAGTGAATTAAACTATACCTTCAATTATTCAAAATGAGGTTATTGTCATAGTAACAGACAGCAAGGGAAGTTTTGGTGTCAGGTGGACTGGATTAGAACCTCAGTTTCTTCACTTACTTGGACAAATTACTTATTATTCTTACCCCTTAATTTTGCAATTTGGAACAGGGATTGACACTTTAATTACAGGGATTTTTAAGTATCAAGTGAAATTATACATTGAGAAGAGGTAACTTTGTGTTTTGCATTCATTAAATACAGAAAGTTCAGGGCAACTTGCTAATACTTATGTAATTACATTTGTTCCTACCTCACTGCTGCAGAACTTCAAATGTTTAGCCTTTATATACTATTATTAATGACTTATGGCCTTAATATTGTGTTGAAACCATAATTACTTCTACTTAAATATAACTGATTTCTAGATTTAGTTGGATTTATTATTCTACTGTGTTTTTAGTCTTTTCTATTTTTATGTCATTTATTGTGATCTATTTTGGAGTTTGATTGGAGGAAAATTTACTTAATAATATTTATATATGATTCAACCATGAGGATTTGCTTTATTCCTCATCACTGTACTTTTTAAAAATCTTCTTTACTCATCTTTTTATTCTGTATTTTCATTTTATAAAAGTACAGGTATCTGACTGTTTTACCATTATTACCATACCTGTGTATGGAATAAATTGTTGTTCCCAGAGCTTCTATATAATCTGAAAGTTGGGCATGAATTTCTCTTTTTAATCTTTTACAATTTTTTATCTTTGTTGATGTTATCTAGTCTTATGTCTGAGTACAAGAGTTTAAATCTATATTGTGCTATGAATACTGGCCCGTGGACTAAGAATGAAAGGGGATAGATACGAGAATCTGAAGGGATAATGTTAGTCAGCTTTCTTATTACTGGACACAATATCCCTAACAGACATCTTAAAGGAAGATAGGTTTGACTTGCTTTATGTTTTAAATGGATTCAGTCCATGTTTAGCTAGATCCAAAACAGGTACACTATGTTGAAAGGGCCTGGCAGACCAAAGTTGCTTGTTATTATGGCAGCTGAGAAGTTGATCAAGGGAGCATTGCCAAGTAAGAAGGGTTGGAGGACCAGACCACACCGCCATGACCCACCTGGACAAGCCTACAGATCTTTTGGTTGAATTCTAAATCCAATCAAATTGGGATACCACTGTCACATCCTTCCTCTTGTCTGCTTCATATACAAACATGTTAAACTCTACATAATCTCCAAATAAGATAATATCAAGTATATAATATTTACCTAAAATAACTTTCTTTCCTGCAACTAAAAATCCAACAATACCTTCCTCAGAGTCTCAAAACTCCCAAACTTTTTAAAATGTCCAATTAAAAGTCTCTTCTGAGACTCAGTGCAAACTGTTAGCTAGAAATCTGTATAAAATTATTTTAAATTACATAATTTGAAGGTGTAATGGCAAAGGATAAGTATTTCAACTCCAAAAAAAGAGAAACCATAGGCTAAAGAGGAATAGGACAAAAGTAAAAATTCAACAGGGTAAATACTCAGTCCTGTGTCTCCATGTCTGTCATCTGGGCTTCATAGTGGTGAGATACACATTCCAAAAGACTTGAGAGGTTCTAACTCGATGGCTGGGTTAGTTGCAGCAGCCTACATGTGCTCAAGAGCTTGTGCCAATCACAGCTGTAGGTATCCCACATCCTCTGCTGATGCTCTCTGCATTATTGACATCTCTGACTTCCTGGTGTCTCCACTGACCTTTGGCTTCATTCCAGTGCACACTTTTATCTCAGGGGTTGGTTGCTTGTCTTCCCAGGCTTCCCTTTTAAATTTCTTTAGAAGCCTTTGAATTGTACAAAACTAGTTTTCTGCACATATGACTGCAGCATCAAATAGGCACTTTCAAGGTCTGCTATCACCAGGGGAAGTAGGTGATCCCTCTTGGACCATGGTTGCGGCAACATTTGAGTGTCTGTGTGGCTGAGTATAATAAATGAGTCCTAGGAACTAATTATGTAGGAGGGCATTGTATTCATTTGGGGGAGGGGGTGTCAAACCGGGAATCAAATTCAGGGCTTTGTGCTTGGCAGGCAGGAGACCATTCTTAGTGGGCAGGTCCCAGGAACTGTCTTCTCACCTAAAAAAAAGTTAAAATTTTCTGCTATTGAATGTGTGATGAATGGAATCTTGCTAATTCCTGAGATTTTCTCAAGACTCCATTCCTCCCATTCTGTACTGTATATAGCTTCTTTTTAATGGCATTAACCTCTTCATCAGCCATATTCCATTTGGCTTTACTTTTATATATGGTTCCTTCCAGGGAAAAATTAATTTTTTTCATATTTTTCCACTTTGCCTTTTGTTGCCAATTCTCACCATAAATCTAGCAAAAATCAGCAACAGTATCTATACCACAGCCTCTTGTGGGTCACTTTGAAATTGTATATATCATATTAGTCTATTATCCTTAATTCCCAGCCAAATCAAATACAAATGAAAACTTTGCTTTATGGTTAGTAGAAAGAAGGGAAATTTGGGCATATGGGTTGCATATTCCTTAAAAAATATTTCTGGAATTTTATATATTTTCCTATAAAACACAGTGAATTGAAATCTCACGTACACAAACTCTTCAAATTATTCTCTAAATTTAACCTATACATGTTGTGGGCTAATCTATAAACTAGTCTTCCTGTTGTATTCTAAGAA